AAGTGGTAGAGGACTGGTCTTGAGTACAAGAGCTGAGGGACAGCATCCAGGCCATGAGTTCAAGCCCCAGGATAGCACACACACAAAAAAAAAAAGTAAAGAAAAAGAAAAAAAATCAGGGGAGTTTATTGACAAGGAAGTGGTGAAGGGAGAAGAGGGAGAGATCAGGGCCAAGTTACATGGTATGGCTTTGAATTTGTTCCAAGTCTGATGACACATTCTATACTATTTTAAGGAGCCAGGAGGGAGCCAACACGACCTCATTTATGATTTTAAGACTTTCTCTACTGCATGCTTTGTTAATCCACCTTTGCACAGCTGGGGACTGTTGGTCATCTGAGCCTAGAGCACCTGAGCTTCAGATATGACTGGATCGATGTTAAAATGATGCCTTAGTGGCCGCCAGTGTCTCACCCTTGCAATCCTAGCTACTCAAGGAAGCTGAGATCTGAGGATCATGGTTCAAAGCCAGCCCAAGCAGGAAAATCTGTGAGACTCTTACCTCTAATCAACCACTAGAAAACCAGAAGTGGCACTGTGGCTCTAAGTGGTAGAGTGCTAACCTTGAGCACCCAGGCCCTGAGTTCAAGTTCCACGACAAACAACAAGATCAGAAAAGAAGCCTTTCAGAACTTCTTTGTCACTTCAAGGCTGTTCCCCTGGTGCTGGCCTCACTCCGAGGCAGGATGTCTGTGTGCCAAGACAGCCTATCTGTGGCTTAACTCACCTTGGATGCTCAGCAATGCCAGCAGGGAGGGTTCTACTTTCCCAGGGGTGCCAGAAAAAGTCACAAGAAGGTCTTGACTAGCTACATATGAATTTCCTCTTGTGCACACTTAAAAAGTATTTTGGTGGCTGCTTTTGCTTTAGGTCATTTTTCAGATATAGTTTTATAACCTACATTGTATCAAAACCATGAATCCCCCCACCCTTGCCTCCAGTGTTGCTGGGATTATAGACATGTACCTCACATCTGGCTTATTGGTTGACATAGCATACTTCACTTATTTTTTGTCTGTCATGGTGCTTGAACTCAGGGCCTGGGTGCTACCTCTGAGCTTTTTGTTGTTCAAGGCTAGCTCCTACCACTTTGAGCCACAGCTCCACTTCGGGTTTTATCTGGAGAAGTCTTATAGCCTGTCTTGCCTAGACTGGCTTTGAACTGCAGTCCTCTTGTCTCAGCCTTCTGAGTAGCTAAGATTTTCCATAGCCTGGCATGAGCCACCAGCACCTGGCTCACTTAACTTTTTGTCCAGGTTGGCTACCAATCTCTGCCTCCCAAGCAGCTTGAATGACAGACTTGTGTCACTTCACCCAACATGTTTTTGTCCACTTTGACCCACACCCTGGGATACTGATAGTCTGTCCAGTTACTAAGGATCCAGAGTCACCTCTACCAGATGTTATACATGGAGGGGAAGTGTCCTTTTAGAGAGGGGTCTCCTGTTAGAGACTGCCTAAGAGCATTCCTGTGTGCCTGCCAGTGTGGCACACAACTGCCCTTCCTCAGAAAGCCTGGGCTGCTTACAGCTCTGCCCTTAGTACAGGAATTTATTCTACTGTTGGTTGTAGTAGGCAGAACCTGTTCACTCCACAGCTGGCAGAGGCTGCTAGGTTGTAGCCTGTAGCAGGCATCACTTGCTTAGTGTTACAGCTCAGCAGCAGACAACGCCTGCCAGTGTTGAAGCTCCACTGTGAACATTGCCATTGGGGCCTTCTCGGGTTCTTATCTTCAGAGAATGAAGTCCAAGACAATGGAGGATGAGGGGGAAGAATTTCATTCACAGAAGTATGTCAGTAAAGGCCACTGCTGCTCTGTGTGTCTTCTTACCCAATCCATTGTGTAATCTGTGTCCAGGGATTGGTGATTGGTTGCCCTTATGAAGCTGAGGTATAGATCTGATCAATCAGAGAAGACCTGCAGTCTCTGTGGGTCTGCAGACCTGAATAGTTCTCAGTTAGGACTATGAAGAGCTAGGAAGGATGGTGGTGGGACATTCTATTCTTTATAACTGGGATTAAAAAAAGAATCTTGCATTGTCCATAGTCTGGTCTCAGCCAGACGATGGTCCTTGCCAAGCCAGCAATGCCTTCTACTGCAAGATGTTCTCCAGGGGCCTTTGGCCCTGACTACTGAACCTGGCCCTATTGAACCTTTTAGCTTTTTCAGCTAAATCCATCTTTTTTTCCTCTCAGATCTTCCCAAGAAGCAGATCTGAGAGAGGCCGCTGTCTGGGGATGGGAAGTATAGTTGAAAGGTCCACTCTGGGATCTTTGGCTAGCTTCCCCTGCCTAGGTGGCTGCCTGGGTTTAAGTAAAGTCCTGACTGGGCAGGTTGGTTGCTCTGGCCTGAAACCATAGGTTTAGGGTGCAGCAGGCCCGTCCTGTCTGTGGGCTGAGAATGACTTCACGGCTGGCCATCTACCTCTATGATGGCACCAGGGTTGGGGAGGTGTGGGGTTGTGGGTAGTCCTGTGAGCCTGGGACTGACAGGGATGGAGGTGTGGGTCTTTTGCAGGGGAGACTAGGGTGGGGCCTGGATCCCAGGGGCAGAAATGCCCTTCCCCCAGAGAGGAGGTGACACTGCCCAGCGGGTGCCTACATGTCCACAGAGATGTTAAGACACCAGCGGCTCCAGCCATAGCTTCTCTACTTGTCAAAGTGTCAGTCTAGTGAAGCCTCAGCACTGTTGTGAACAAGGCATACCTCTCAGCCCTGTTCTGTAGACTGGGACTTTTGAGTTCAGAGAGGTGAAGTTACCCACCCAAGGACACATCTTGTGCCTGGAGCCATGGTGGGCCACCTAGGCTTCTGTAGCTGTGGGCAGGCTGGGCTCAGGCCTGTTTAGGCAGGGTGGCAATCTGGAAAAGGCAGGCTGCAATTTGAAAAATCTGTGCAGTGTGGACAGAATGAAAAATGCATGGAAGGGTTTTCTCTGGAGAAGGAGCCAAAAGAAGAAGAAGCAAAACCCTAAAGGCAAGTGCAGGGGACATTTGGGATAGGGCTGGCAGCCTGGCAGGGGGCCTCAGCCCTGACAGGTGGGCTGAGGGAGAGACCATACCATTTTTGGGGGGCTCAGGGCTCCCAGCGTTTGCTGGGATAGCTGGGAAATGACCATCTCCTGCTGCCTTCTGACTTCTGGGATTGGGAGGGCCAAGACGGGGGCTATAAAGTCTGATAGCCCAGGGCCCCAGAGGCAGGACTGGAGGACACAGAAGCACAGGAAGCTCTTCCTCCGGGACCTACATGAGGGTCCCACTGGGCCAGGGCGGCTGTGATGGACAGGAAGCCAGCCATTCCTTCCGTGGGCTGGCCAGAGAATGGGCTCTGTGTGCACCACAACAAAAGGCTTTTCTGCCAAATGGAGGGGGAGGAAGAGGCCTGGCCAGCTCTGCCTGAAAGGAGGCTCTATTGGAGACCCAGGGGTCTCAGATCCAAGAATGTTTCTATCCTCCTCTTGGCGGCCCCAGTAGTGCAGGGCTGCCTGCAGGTTGATCCACCTGGGTCTGGTCTCAGCAATGGGGTTTCCTAGCTCTGTGACCCTGGCTAAGTCACTACTTTCTCTGAGGCCCATCAAACATAAGTGAAGAACATGCTGGTCGGCTGGGGCCAGCACCACACAGCATGTGTCCAGCACCCTCTGTTCATCCCCACAGCTGGCCACCCCCTAAGGCCACTGTACTACCACAGGACTGGGCTAAACCCAGGTGTCAGAGGCTTTGAAGCACCAAGCTGCACAAATGAGAGAAAAGGCTGGAAGGAAATGCTCAGCTGGGGGAGTTGTGGCCACAGTTTTCTGTTTCCTTTTAATGCTTTCATTCTCTCTCTCTCTCTTTGGTGGTACCAGGATTGAACTTGGGGCCTCACACCTTAATTCTTTTACTTGGAGATTAGTGAAATGTAAAGGAGGGGAAAAAAAGATGCGGAAGGGACAGGGGCCCTAGTGAATTTATAATCATATTCAAAAATAGAACAAAAACACCGTAAACCCAGTTACTAGCCAGATGGAGACTGGGAGGATCATGGATTCAGGACAGCCTGAGTAGAAAGGTAGCGTGACCATCTAAAAAACAAGCCAGGTATGTTGGGTCACACCTGTAATATCAGCTACAGGGAGGTACAGGTAGGATACCATATAAGGCCAGCACAGGCCTTATAGAGAGGGTTTCAAACCCTCTCTGTAAAACAACTGAAAAAGCAAGAAGAGCTTGGGGTGTGGATCAGGTGGTAGAGAGCTTGCCTAGCAAGTGGAAAGCCCTGAATTCAAATCCCAGTAGTGTACAAACAAACCATTGAATCAAGAACTAGTGGCTCGTCATGCCTGTAATCCTAGCTACTCAGGAGTCTGAGATCTGAGGAGTATGGTTCAAAGCTAGGCTGGGAAGGAAAGTCTGTGAGATCCGTATCTCCAATAAACTACAAAATAAAAATAAAGAATCCAAAAGTGGAGCTGTGGCTCCAATGATAGAGTACTAGTCTTGAGCAAGAAAAAGCACCCAGGCCTTGAGTTCAAGCTTCAGGATGGAGACACACACACACACACACACACACACACACACACACACACACACACACACACACACACACACACACACACACACACACTCCTGTGGAATGTGGCTTGGTCTCTGGGCATGAGGGAGGCAGGACTCAGCTTTCCACCCTTGCTGAGATCCCTTCTACCAGAGGGCCTGGGAAGACCTGGACAAAGCTCTTCTAAGGGTCTGAACCTTTTGCTCTAGGGAAGTGCTTCAAATAGTTTCCCGAGGAGCAGAGGCGCTCCTCCAGGATGGGACAGAGCCTCACCCCTCAGAGGCCAGTGAATACTGCTGTGGCTCTGGTGTCCCTGGGTAACAGGCTCTTCCTAAGGCAGATCCAAAAGTATGGGGGCCCTATTTGGGCCCCTTCAAGACACACACAGGCATCTAGGATAGCCCTGTGGCTCAGGGTGAGGAGCAGCCAGGGCAGGAAGACGCTGCACAGCCCTGGGTGGGCTTCTGTCCTCTGTCCTCTGTTTCTCTGGCTGTGTCCGTGCCACGGGTACTTCCCTGTGTACTACAGACAGAAGTACATCGAGAGAACTCTAAGCAGCAACCTTCCCCACGTCAGGAAAGCAGAAACACACACTCAGTTAAGGTGCCACAAAGAAAGGAGATACCTGGGCATAAATAAACAAGGAGGGTAGGACTGACAGAGGACTGTGTGGCTGGGAGATGGCCAGCCCTGAGCACCAGGTGGGAAGGAGGAGCGATGGGCAGGGGGCGGAGCCAGTCAGGCCCAGGGGGTGGAGTCAGTCAGGCCCAGGGGGTGGAGTCATACCCACTCCTGCAGGGAGCGCTTGCAGTAGAGCAGCACGCGGGGCGCACCTTTGCGCTGCAACTGTACCAGTGCGAAGGCCAAGCCCAGCACGCACAGCAGCAGCAGCAGAGGTACCAGCACCATGACCACATTCACCGTCCGAGCCACCTCCTCCATCTGCACCACCACTCGAGTACCCCCCTCCTTGTCCTTGTCCCTGTCTCTGTCCTCACCAGCCCCACCGCCCACAGTGCCATCTGTGCTGTCACCATCCACCCCAGGCTGTGCATCTCCGTCGGGGTTGAAAGGTGGACGTGCCACATCGGGCCATCGGGGTCCAGTGTCCACGTGTTCCTGGCAGCCCATGAAATCTCTCAGGATGGACTTGGGGTAGCCGGGTTCCATCCTCAGGCGCTCGTTGTCAAATTTCCAGTATTTGGTGCCCTTGTAGAAGTAGGTGTAGGCTGTGGGGACAAACAGGCCCAAGTGGCTTCAGGTCTGGCCCAGCCCACCAGCCAGAGACCCTCCCCAACTAGGTCCAACAGAAAGGGCCCCAGCTTTAAGGACCCTCCTTGGGACTGAGGCTGTTTGTAGCCTAGTGATAGATGGCTTGCTTAATGTATACAACCCTGGGTTCCAGCATCAAAACTAAAATGAAACAAAAAGGTGGGCATGGTGGTCCAAGCCTGTAATCCTAGTTACTTGGGAGATAGAGGCTAGAGGATCAGGAATTTGAGGTCGGCCTGCAAAAGTTAGCAAGATCCTATCTCAAAAATGAAAGGGAGCTGGGTGCTGGTGGCTCATGCCTGTAATCCTAGCTACTCAGGAGGCTGAGATCTGAGAATCACGGTTCAAAGCCAGCCCGGGCAGGAAAGTCTATGAGATTCTTATCTCCAATAAACCACCAGAAAACTGGAAGTGGTGCTGTGTCTCAAGTGGCAGAGTGCTAGCCTTGAGCTGAAGAGCTGAGGGTCAGTGCCCGCACCCAGAGTTCAAGCCCCATGACCGACATTAAAAAAAAGGGGGGTTAGGGCTATGGCTCAAGTTATAGAACACTTGCCAAACAAGGAGCCCTGGGTTCAATCTCCAGCATTGCAAAACCCACAAAAACACACCCCCTTTCTACTTGTTTCTCTGAGCAGTTTGAAATCTGCCTCTTTGCAACTTACAGAAGAGGTCTAGATCCAGGGTGACAGGGCACAGAAGGGACCTGCAGCTGCTGGTTTAAGGCTGCCATCAGGTAGCCCTGCTGCCTGGCCTGGGATTAGCTTCTTCTCACAGAGCAGGAGTCATGCTGGCTGTGCAGCCTGGAGCCCACGTGGACCTGGGGTGCAACTTGACACTACCTTGGCCTGGCTCTCTGTCCTTGGGCATCTGGCCTGCATCCCACTGACACTGAGAAGGGCCAGGTTCAAAACAAGGGGTGAACTCTGTGCCCTGCTGAGCATGAGACCAGAGCAGCTGCACACTGACTTGCCCACACACGGAAGCCTATGACTAGCGGGGCACTGGCAAAGCAGGCTCTCCCCGGAGTCTACCCAACCAGAATCAAGACCTGGGGCGAATGGTTTTCTTAACTGCCCTAGGCATCCTGACGGAGAAATAAAAGAGCCATGGCTCTCTGTAGCTCAATTATAATGACAGAGACCAGGCTTCTATTCCGGGCTAACAGGAGATGCCCAGAGAGAGGGCCCAGTCCATCACACATTGAGCCATGCCCACCTCCCAGACACTGGGACGCAGAGCTGCTGTGCTGTGTGGGCAGCAGGGCATTCTGAGCATCTAGCTATGCATGTGAGTCACCCTGAGCTGGCATTTCCCCCCCCCCACCCCCAACCCCTGAGCCCTTTGCTCACGTTCTCTGTAATAATGCAGGGAGGGCCAGAATGGCCTGACAGGCCTGGGTGTCCCAGGCATACCCAGACAAGAACTGTCTCCCATATGTCTGTGAAAGAGAGGCTGGCCTGGTACCTGCATCACTGCTCAGGAAGGCTCCTTTTGGGGAGATGGGGACTCCCTGCCAGACGCTGATGGGCTTGGGGTAGCCAGGGTCTCCATGCTGCGTCTCCTCATTGAAGCGCCAGTACCTGTGACCAGAAGCACCAGGCTGTGGACTTACAAGTCCCTCTTGGCTGGGCCCATCCCCCTCAGGCAGCAGGCTCTGGCTAGGTAGGCCAGAGGGTGGTACCTCCTATCATTAGAGAAGGGGAGCTCTGCTAACCTGTCCTCCTGGAAGAAAAACGTGTGGCCCGTGGGCTCCCACCAGATGGCTGTGTCGATGCGGTCGTACGGGATGCCCAGGCCATAGCTGGTCAATGGCTGGGGGTAGCCAGGCTCCAGGTTCGCTTCTCGGAAGAGCCAATAGCGGTCACCTGCAGGAGGAATCAGAGAGGAAGGGCCGAGGTTGAGGGTGTACATGGTGAGGGCCGGGCACAGGAAATGCTCTTCTGGGCCCAAAGACCATTCATGTAAAAACTTGCAACTGGGTGCTACTCAGGAGGCTGAGGATCGTGATTCAATGTCAACCCGAGCAGAAAAGCCTGTGACACTCTTATCTCCAATAAACTACTCAGAAAAAGCCAGAAGTGGCACTGTGGCTCAAGGGGTAGAGAGCTGGTCTTGAGCAAAAGAAGCTCAGGGATAGTGCCCGGGCCCAGAGTTCAAGCCCTAGGATCAGCAAAACAAACCAAAAAACTTGCCCATCTCAATACACACATGTACACAGCATGTTTGACCTTCATACACTCAGGACAATATAACATAACACAGCTCACCTATGTCTACACAGAAGGTGCTAAACTAATGTCTGACACTCCTACCAACAGGCTTCACATGGGGTCTCTTCCTGACCTCAGAGGTTCAGAGGAATCAACCTATCTTTCTTTCCTTCCCTCCCTTCCTCCTTTCCTCCCTCCCCCCCTCTCTGTGTGTGTCTCTTTCTCCTCTCAGGTACTAGGGCCTACCTTTTTTTTCAAGGCTGGTGCTTTACCACCTGAACCACAACTCCACTTGCAGCTTTTTGCTAGTTAATTTTAGATAAGAGTCTATACAGGGCTGGGAAGGTGGCTCAGTGGTAGAGCGCTTGTCTTGCATGCATGAGGCCCTGGGTACGATTCCTCAGCACCACAAAAGCAAAAACAAAAAAGCCAGAAGTGGCTCTGTGACTCAAGTGGTAGAGCGCTAGCCTTGAGCTGTGAAGAGCTGAGGGACAGTGCCCAGGCCTAGAGTTCAGGCCCCACGACCGGACCCCCCCCAAAAAAAAGAGTCTATACAGACTTTCTCACCTGGGCTGACTTTGAACCTTGATCCTCACATCTCAGCGTCCTCAGTAATTAGGATTATACATGTGAGCCCTTCCCATGCCTGACACAACCTGCTTTTAGTGTGAACTGAATCCTGTCTTCAGGGAACTCTGCCTGAAGGCTCAAGCTAGCAGGGGCTGGAGACCATGGATCCATTGAGGGGGCTTCTCCTCAATGTTCTGCTATACTATAAAATTCCTGCCCAGTGGGCTTAAAGACCTGGTTAGGAGGACCAGGCTACTCTTAAAAGAACCCATTCTTTTTTATTGACTTGTCTTATTTGGGGGGGGGGTCTTAAGACATAGTTTCACTGGATAGCCCAAGCTAGCCTCAAAGTCTCCATCCTCCAGCTTCAGTCTCCTCAGTACTAGGATTACAGATGTGAGCAATCAGGCCCAGGCAGGAACCCATTCTTAGGAAGGAAGAGGGAGGAGGAAGGGAAATGAGGCTAAGCCTCTGTGCTCAAGATGATACACTGTTACTCATTACATGGCCTCTGGATTCCAGGGCCAGAGGTCAACCAACTCCCAGGCTTGTATCTCTCCACCCTCACCTGGCTGCCAGGCTCTCAGCGTCCCCGTCTCTTCCTCCTAGAGTGAGCCCACAGTGTGGACACAGGACCACACATAAACTATAGCCCTTTACCTTTCTCTTCTCTAACTCCAAAGATCAGGGCTTGAAGGCTACCTAGCCTCAGCTTACCTTTGAAAAAGACAAAACGCCCATCCTGGCGTTCGTAGGCTGCACTGATGTCACCGGGCAAACCACGCCAGAAATGGCCAATGGGCATAGGATAGTTGTCCAGGACACGGTTGTGCCGGACTCGCCAGAACCAGCGTCCCTGGTGTGGGGGGAGATGGATGTTGGTGGGCAGTATCTACAAGCTGCCTTGGTTGGGGGACCTCCACCCCCATAGAAGGCAGGGATGGAGAGGGGAGGGTTACTAAGGCACCACACAGTGTAAGGAGAGCCGGGGCAGTCCTGGGGAAACCCTCTGGGCTAGAAGAAGGCACTTGGACTTGCTACATGACCTTTCCAACTGGAAAGGGTCTGATGGCCCACAGGGGCTGCTGAGGGGTGGCAGGCAGTGCCCAGGCAGCCAGGCAGGCAAAGGCCTGGGTGGGCTGAGCAGGAGCAGTCCTGCTCTAAGCCAGGGACTGAGGGAGGCAGCTGGAGGCTGGGGCCACACCTTGAACACGAACATCTCTCCTCGAAGCATGGCCACTGTGTCAAAGTTCCCATCACAGATGTTGGGGCCGTACTGGTCTGGTCGCTCTGTGGCTCGGGGCTGGACAGGGGGGCCTGGCTTGGGGGGCCGGTCTGGCTTCCCTCCTGGAGGTGGTGGCTGTGGGGGTCGAGGGGGCCTCTGATCTGGCCGGCCTGGCTGTCGGGGTGTCACAGTGGGAAGAGGCCGGGTGGGATGTGGTTGACCATCTGGGGTGCCTGCAGAAAGAGGTGTGGCGGAGCAAGAAATGAGAGCAGCCCAACCCCAGAAACCAGACCAAATGCAATGTTCTCCTACTCAGAGTCTGCGGCCCCAGGGCCCCTGGACCATCTGGCACACACAAAGGTAAAGGTCCTGTCTGTTCACAGCAGCCCCTCGCTCACCCAATATCATCCTGAGGGGGTCCTGACACCTCCTTTGTGCAATCCCCTCATCAATCTTCCCACTGGACCCCAGTCTCTGCTTTCCCTAAGGGAGCTCAGGGTTAGTGCAGAGCCCAAGCCTTGACCCTCAGAACTGGGCCTCGAGGAAGTGTAGCGGGAAAGATGGCACCTGGTACGGCAGGACCCCTATGGTCTAGAAGGAACATGGCAAAGGCTGAAGAAAAAAAGCCCTGTCACCTGTGTCATCTGCCCATGTGGCTCTGAGTGAGGCCCAGGCGTAGCATCGCCAGCCCTGGGTTTGACACCATCCGTTACTGAGGGGCCCAGGCAAGTGGTCATCTACAGAAGGGGGCAGCAGCACAGCCTGTCTTGTAGGGCTGGGAGGTGAGATCGGCGGGGAACAAAGGCCTCTTACCATAGAGCTGCTGGATGCCTCTCAGGTCATCCTCAGGCAGCTGGAAGTTGTCTGTGTCCATCCACTGGTAGAATGGTGCCATGATGGCACTGGGGTTGCTTGAGTGCTCCAGCCCCAGTGCATGGCCCAGCTCATGCACCGCCACCAAGAAGAGGCTGTTTCCTGTGATGGGGCAGGCAGTATAGTCACTCTGGGTTGGTCCAGGATCTGGCCACCCACTCTGGATGGAGGCTGACACAAGATCCTGCCCTTGCTTCTGAGACATGGGTTCAACTAACCCTTATTTTCCCACCTGGCTTAGACTGAGGCCAAGTTCAGGGCTCCAGAGACCTGAACAGGGGGACATGCTCCCCTCCTGAACCAGTAACTGCTGAGCCCGCTAGCAGGGACTGAGCCTACTTGCAGGGGCTGGGCCCTGCTCCAGCGTTGCCTACCTGCCCTGCCCCTACCCTAGCCAGCTGTCCTTACCATGCAGGTCAGTGCTGGAGTAAGTCCAGGGTTCATCTGCGTCAAAATGGGTGTCCCCACCTAGGCCAGGGCCGGGGAAATAGGCATGGGCCAGAAAGCCACCTGTGCCATCAAATGGTGAGCTGTCACCGTGGAAGCCAGAGGCAAAGAGTACCATGATGTCAGCCTCCTTCTGCCTCCGTAGCTGGATGTCATCGTAGGGCACCTCTTCGAAGGCCAGGGGGGTGGCCTGCTCCCA